GGGAATGATTATGGGGGATTCTTGTAGGAAGTGAGAAGGTCCCCCGAGCCTTCTTTGAGCCCCCCCAGCTCCCTCAGCCATTCCTGGTGCTCCAGCCCCTTTCCCAGCCCCTGCCCTGGACACCACGGATGTGGAGTCTCTGGGTTTTGTGCTGAGTTTATTGTAATTGTGGTGAAGGGACAAGGGGTGGATTTTGTGTAAATTGCCCCACTTGGGTTCGGTGTTGGGATGATTTTGATGATTATTTTGATTTTTGTGGGGGGAATTTTTTTGGTTTGGTTTGGTTTGGTTTTGTTGATGGAAGGGAAGGTGTGTGATGGATGTGGATTTTAGTGGTAATTCCTAAATATCAGAGGGACATTCCTGGACATCAGAGGGACATTCCTACACATCAGAGGGATATTCTTAGATATCAGAGGGACATTCCTGAGCATCAGAGGGAAACCCCGGCTGTGGGGTGTGGGAAGGGGGTTGTCCTGGGGGCTGTGAGCGTGGCCCAGGGGTCCAGCCACGTCCTTCCCGCCCTTCCCAGATCTATGGCTCGCCAGGGATCAATCCCTACGAGTGCCTGAGGCAGTCCTGCAGCATCCTCATGGCCACCATGAACAAGATGGCCACGGCCATGCAGGAGGGCGAGTACGACGCCGACCGCCCGCAGAACAAGGTGGGTCCGGCCGTGCCCCGGCACCAGCCACGGGCCCTGCCCTGCCAGGAGGGACGTGGGCAGGGAGCTGGGCAGGGGCAGTGTCTGGGATCCCATCCCTGCCATCCCAACCCGCCCTGTCCCGCTGTCCCAGCCCACGCCCCCGGCAGAGCTCCGGGCGGCCGCGCTCCGGGCGGAGATCACGGACGCCGAGGGGCTGGGGCTGAAGCTGGAGGACAGGGAGACGGTCATCAAGGAGCTGAAGAAGTCCCTCAAGATCAAGGTAGGGTGTTCCTTACTGATCCCTGCCTGTTCCTTACTCATCCCTGCCTTCCTGGCTATTTGTCACTAATCCCTGCCTGTCCCTCACTAATCCCTGCCTGTTCCTCACTGATCCCTGCCTGTTCCTTACTGATCCCTGCCTGTTCCTCACTGATCCCTGCCTGTTCCTCACCCATCCCTGCCTTCCCAGCTGTCCCTCACTAATCCCTGCCTGTTCCTTACTGATCCCTGCCTGTTCCTCATCTATCCCTGCCTGTTCCTCACCCATCCCTGCCTTCCCAGCTGTTCCTCACCCATCCCTGCCTGTTCCTCACCCATTCCTGCCTGTTCCTCACCCATTCCTGCCTGTTCCTCACCCATCCCTGCCTGTCCCTCACCCATCCCTGCCTCCCCAGCTGCTGTGGGAGTCACCTCCCTGCTCAGGGTGGCTTGTTACCTGTGGAGCTGATGATCCCAAATCCTAGCCAGATCTCCTGGGGATGTTCTTCCTGTGGGCAGGGAGGTACTACCTTCCAGATCCTGCCCTGGCCTCTCCCCATGATGTGTTGGGATGCTCAGGGTCGGACTGGGATCTGTTCCTGGGTTCCAGCCGTGGGTTCTGGTGATTTTGGGGCTCCCCCAGCTCGCAGAGCTCCCTGATTCCCTCCCTGCTGCTCCAGGGCGAGGAGCTCAGCGAGGCCAACGTGCGGCTCAGCCTCCTGGAGAAGAAGCTGGACAGCGCATCCAAGGACGCAGATGATCGTGTGGAAAAGATCCAGACGAAGCTGGATGAGACCCAGACACTGCTCAAAAAGAAGGAGAAGTGAGTGTGGGATGGGCTGGGGATGTGGAGCTGCTGAGGAGAGTCCAGAGGAGGCCCCGGAGCTGCTGCCAGGGCTGGAGCCCCTCTGCTCTGGAGCCAGGCTGGGAGAGCTGGGGGGGTTCCCCTGGACAAGAGAAGGCTCCAGGGAGAGCTGAGAGCCCCTGGCAGGGCCTGAAGGGGCTCCAGGAGAGCTGGAGAGGGACTGGGGACAAGGGATGGAGGGACAGGACAGGGGGTCCCGGGCTGCAGCGTCCCTGCTCAGCCATCCCTCCGTGTGCCCTTCCCAGGGAGTTTGAGGAGACCATGGACGCTCTCCAGGCCGACATCGACCAGCTGGAGTCGGAGAAGGTGGAGCTGAAGCAGCGGCTGAACAACCAGTCCAAGCGGACGATCGAGGGGCTCCGGGGGGGCCCGGCCTCGGGCGTCGCCTCCATCGTGTCCGGCATCGCCGGCGGTGCGTGAGCGGGAACGGGGAGTCCCCTGGCACAGGCGCCGGGCGTCGTGTGGGAAGGGTGCTCCCACAGCTGCCCTGGGCAGGCAGGGCAGGGGGCACCTCCATGGAGCCACCCGGGGTGTCCCTGCATGGGATGATCCCTGGAGCCACCCGGGGTGTCCCTTTGGCAGGATGATCCCATGGGATCTGTGCCTGCTGGGGCTCTCCTGGGCAGGGATGGGTGCTGGAGCTCTGCTGCTCAAAGTGTCTACAAAACCCACCAGGAGCAGGAGCAGGAGCAGGTGTCTGGGGGGCTCTGGCTGCAGGACAATGTGTGGCCTCTGGAACGGAGAGCTGGGGTGTCCTTCAGGAATGATCAGGTGGCCATGGAGCAGCCTGGCCTGTGGCCCCAGAGTGGCAGGGACCTGGTGGGTCTGCAGCCTGAGCCTTTGGCCCTGATCTGGGATGGGTGACACCTGGGTGAGCATCCCCTGCATGCAGGGTGCAGCATCCTCTGGATGCAGCAGCCCTGGGATACAGCATCCTCTGGATGCAGCAGCTCTGGAATACAGCATCCTCTGGATGCAGCAGCCCTGGAATGCAGCATCCTCTGGATGCAGCAGCTCTGGAATGCAGCATCCTCTGGATGCAGCAGCCCTGGGATACAGCATCCTCTGGATGCAGCAGCTCTGGAATACAGCATCCTCTGGATGCAGCAGCTCTGGAATACAGCATCCTCTGGATGCAGCAGCT